GAATAAGAATCACTTTGTCTCCTCCACGGGATTACAAATAACGTCTATTGGATGGCTTTAGATGTGGACGTTGTATCTATGATGCAAATTTGATCGTTGTTTTACTATATGCACACACTAGTACAAATAACTAAAAAATGTATACCTTTAAACATCATATAATACTCTGAAACGAGCCAAATAAGGGAAATTCTACAAAACATATCATAAAACATGGCAAAAATTTCAAAGCGTGAGTGGACATTGTATCCGATGCATGGTAAAACAAGAAAAGATGAATCTATGGAAGATGTGAAACACGTGAAATTGATGCTTACATTCTGGAGTATTTAACAAAACACTACCACATTTAAGGTTTCGATCCTACGGAACTACCACTTTTATATGGTCAGCAAAAACTACCTGCTGAAAATATCTTTTTTTTCTAAAATCAACCACAAATAGTGGCCAGTTTAGACGGTTTAAACGCATTTACGGCCGGAGTGGCCTGCTTGTTATGGGAGCCGTGGTGGGAAAGTCAACTCCATTATGTTGGAGCGTTAAGTTGACCGTTATGACTCGTGGGGGCTCACATGTCAGCATGAACTTTCTTCTTCCTCCCCTCTTTCTCTCGAGATAATTACAACTACGGTACCTGTACTATCTGGCACATAACAACATGGTCCTGGCACTCGTCGATTGCTCGGATACGATCCTCAAATACGCAGAAACGCTCCAAAACGGTCTTTTGTGCGTATCTCGTACGAACCTGGCTACTCCGCTCGTACGCGCGAGGCCCAGACCGCGCGCAGACTGGTCGAGCCAAGCTGCTTAAACCAGAGAGGTGGCACACTGGTAGGCCAAAATTCCCCATTCCCTCCCCAACCTAAATCCCAAATTCCTCTCCTCTCCTCTCAGTGGGTGGCGAACTGGCGATAGCATGACGGAGAGCCCCATTTCCGGCGCGGGCAGAAACGTCGGCTCCCCCGTCAGCTGCGGCAAGGTTGGGTGTCGCACCCGCGGCGCCAGCGGTGCTATAGGTGGCTGGTGGTGTGGCGCCGCGGCAAGCCGTGCCTCTGGCCGGAGACCGGGTGTGTGCTCCTCGCTCCCACCTTGGTGATGGACCTACTGCAGACTCGCGCAGCCACGTGCTCTGGTGACGGCAGTTGGAGATTGGCTGCGCTGCTTGATGTCCTCGCGAAGAAGTGCCGCGTCAAGCCGACGCAGCTGGGCTTCGAGGAGGCATGCCCGCCGTCATTACGTGCTAACATCGCTTCTACACTTGGCTCTACGGCGTGGACTACACTGGGCTTGCCGAGGCCGACGGCTCAATCTGATTTACGTACTACAGTAGTGAATTAGGATATCACTATGTCAAGTGGAAGAGGAAAATTGCCAAACTGGCATGCTATATAATGAAATTTGTATGCTACCTTTTGCTGGGAAGTTGCATCCTATGTAAATATGGTCAGTTATGTAATCAAGTTGAACTGGGATGTCATGTAATGAAGTTTGGTAGCTTCCGGATGCAATTTGGTATCTTGTGAATGTTGTATAAAATTTGCTAGGAATTGCAGCAAGTTTGTCAGCTTGTTACTTTCCTGGAAGTCCACTAGTTGAGTACAATGCATACCGAACTTCATTTAAATCATGCATGTTTCTATGTTCTCATACAGAACAGATAAATAGCAGAAATCATATGCCAAAATAATCTGTTTTTATACACGCAACAGTTGAACACCACAGAACAAGGGCTAACATGTTTCGTGCATTTAACAAAAGCATTCAATTTTACATGGTTTGCCTGATCATTACATGATCATGAACATAACATGATTAGTCTCACCAAGATTTAACAGGTTGGTGGAAGAAAATAAAGAAGTTCTGCAACTTAACAAAAGAAAACACATAACACTTCATGTGTCAAATGGTTATATCCTCTACTTCCTAAATATATCAAACATGCTACTTTTTCTTGGTTTTTTAAAATCTGTCCTGGCCTGACTGAAGTAAGGTCTCTTTGGCCGATGTGGCTGCTCCAAAGTGCTCTGCTTTGCTTGACACTCATCATGCCTTTGCTCCTCACTTGCCAACCTGAGATTTCCTTCCATGGCTTGTTCCTTTCCTTCTTCAGCTTGTGCATATGCTCTATTCCATTCTTCTACTTATCTCTTTCTCTCTTCCCAACCTTGTGTCCTGGATGTATCTTGCTGCAGATTTTGCTTCTCCCATGCCTGCTGCCTTGAATTCTCACCTTGAGCAAGATAATCTTTAGAACCTCTAATTCTTTCCTGCTCATCCTCTTGCATCAACAAAAATTGCATTTCTTCTGCTCTTAGTGAATCTTTACCTTTCTTTCTCTTTTCATCTGCAATTCTTTTCTTTTTTGCAGCCTTCAACTTTTTTGCTTCCTCTGCTTGCATCTTTTTAGCTTGCAGTGCATTCCTTTTGGCCTCTGCAAGTGCCTTCTTCTCCTGCTGCTCAGCTAAACTCAGTTTGCATGTTCTGCTCCTGATTACAAAAACCATACAAATTAGTAAGCTTCTGGTTATGGAAAAAACAATTTAACATTAAGGAGGTTGTTGTCAGCTATATTACTTGTTCATGGCCTCATATTCTTCATTAGAGGAGGAAACTTCAGGTTCTGCTCTAACTTTCTTTTTTCTTAACTTCCTCTTGGGTTTTAGGCCTAATTTGGAATCTTTGCACCCAACTATGTTCTGTCCTGTAGTCCCACAATAGCTACAATGGATAACAGATCCACCTCTGCCAACTTTCCTCCCTGCCCTACACTCAGTCTCTTCTGGTTGTTGCCGTCTGTTCTTCGCCTTTCTGCCTTTCTTTTTCTTAATTTTGGTAGGAAGCACTTGTCTGCCATACATTTTTTCTCACTCACTCACATCTTTACACTGCAAGATTATGCGCTCGTAAGCCTTGTGAAATGTTTATTATTGTTAAGAAAAATGTGTAACAATGTGCAAAAATGTTCATGTGGTTTATAAAATGTTTATTGTTGTTAAGAAAATGTAAAATGTGTATTCAAAAAAATAGTACCATATATTCAAAAAAGTATTGAAAATATGTATATTAAAAAATGTACGTAATGTATTTAAAAAAATTGAAAGTGTATCAAAAATATTTCATGTCTGCGCTAAAAAATGTACATTGGGTACTGAGAATAATTAGACTTGTGTAAAAAGAAAACCAGTTACCGGTAAAGAAACAAAATAAAAGCGAGAAAAACAAACAATATGAAGAGAATAAAAAATGTATAACGAAGAAAGAAAAACCAGATAAAAAACAAAGTATAATGAAGAAAAAAAGAAAAAATGATGAAAAACAAAATAAAAAACAACCCAAAATAAATATAAAAAATAAAGAAAAATCATAGCAGCGCGAGCAACTACGCTAATGGGCCGGCCCAACTCAGCGACGCTAAATAAATCCTCCGAAGGTTCAAAATAGATCGAGATCCGAGAGTTTGGTGTGCTGATTTCAGGAATTGAGAGTTCAGGGTTTGATTTAGCTTTCGCATACAAGTTAAATGTTCGGAAATGTTAACGCCCACACGTGTGGGCGTTTACACATCGCCCACACGCCTCCATCACCACTCATTTTGCCACGTATGGATAGATGACATCAGCAGAATTTTTTTTGGTTTTCGGCTTAAAAATGTTGTATCTCCTAAATAAAAATGCGAACTAAAAATCCGTTTTCACCATTAAATCCGTCTCGACGAGATCTTCAAAACTAGACCCCATGTTGATATGTTTCGACGAATTTTTTTTGCCAGAAGTTGCCATGATGTTTACACTGCAGTTGCCATAGGGCTTAAACTAAAGTTGCCATGTGGCAATTTTAGTTTGTAGATCATGGCAATTTTAGTATTTTGATGATGGCAACTCCAGTACTTTGACCATGAAAATTATTTTTTGTATGAGCCATGGCAATTTTACGTGCATGCATCATGGCAATTTTAGTTTATGGTTCATGGCAAGTCTAGTTTCTTAATTCCCCGTTTTATAAATGTCAAAATTTACTTTTAAATGTAGAAGAAAATAGTTGAAACATATCATGGCAACTTCAGTGTAAACATCATGGCAATTCATATGCAATAGACATGACAACTTTTATTAAAAAAAAATTCATCAAAACATATCAACATGGGATCTAGTTTTGAAGATCTCATCGCGAGGGATTTAATGGTGAAAACAGATTTTCAATCGGATTTTTCGTTTAAGAGATAAAACATTTTATAAACTGAAAATCCAAAAAAATTCCTGCATGCATGCATGCGATGACGTGACAATCTGTTTACATTAGAGACGTGTGGTGCGTCTCCCTTTCTCCGCACGTGTGGCAGTTAGCGCGACCCTAAATGTTTATTTTGGACTATTTCCGTTTCCCAGCTAAGCAGTAATGCACACACGCGCGACTCCGACGTAGTCGGACCGCACGCGTAGCCAACATCGAACTTATCAGTCGCCGAAGCAGATTTTCCCGGTGCCTTCCCCTGCTTTTCTCCTCCCATGAGAACCATCTCGATCGGCCGTCACGCCAAAGTCACCTATGCCCCCACGAAAGCTTCACATCCATTTCCTGGAGAAGACTACTAACCTGCCGTCGTTGACTACGCGGAAGAAAAAGAAAAACCTCCCGTCCGATCCGCCACACGGCATGTATGTACGTCCACGATGACCACGGACGGCATCTCTCCTTCCTCCCTGCATGCCATGAAGCTCCCATGGACCGCGTCGCTCCCCGAGTATATATGCACACGCGCTCCCACAAGATCATCCAGCAGCAAAGCACAACTCTGTAGCAAAGCAGAGGATCTAGGAAGCACAAGCAGGATCGACCAAACACAAACAGCGTCTAGTTCACCGGTTAGTCAGCCCGACCGATCGACCGATCATCCGGCAAGAATGGTTGCGACAAAGTCGGGCGAGCTGAGGGCGCTATTCGCGTCGCTGGACCAGAACGGCGACGGCCGGGTCTCGGCGGCGGAGCTGCGGGGATGCATGCGGGCAACTCTGGGCGAGGACGTGCCGGCGGAGGAGGCTGAGGCGCTGGTGGCGTCGGCGGACGCGAACGGGGACGGCCTGCTGTGCGAGGCTGAGTTCCTCGAGCTGGCGCAGCAGGCGGCCTGGGCGGGCCACGCGGGGGAGGAGGACGATGAGCTGAGGATCCGGGCACTGAGGGAGGCGTTCGGGATGTATGAGATGGAGGGGCAGGGGTGCATCACGCCGGCCAGCCTCGGGCGGATGCTCGGCAGGCTCGGCGCTGAGCAGGGTGCCGTCGAGTGCCGCGCCATGATTTGCCGGTTCGACCTCGACGGTGATGGCGTGCTCAGCTTCGACGAGTTCAAGATCATGATGAGCTAGCTACCTAGCGCCAGGATCCAACCATATACTCCTAGTTTCGTCTTGCATATAACTAACTTCACTCATTTGTTCGTTCAATCATTCATTCATTCATTCGATTGTTATACTGTCCTAATACAAAGTTTTAATGGTGATGCACAAACAGTAATTGATCTATGTGAATACGTTTGGCCTCGACGGATTGTCCGTGCTCTTGGAATTGGATTGTGGGTTTCTTGAGGATTTCAGATGCCCCAATGAATAGAGAAGGTGAATGTGTAGGGGTTGACTTGTCATCCTCGGCTCCAAACTCTTTAGAGGCTTCTTTAGGGGATAAGTATATTTTATGTTCTTGAACTCTCACCAAAGTTTAGAAACGTCACTCGACTTTAAAACCACTAAAACTTAGCCCCTCAACTATTTAATCCGGATACCTTTGGTCCCATGTAACACTTAAGGTGGTTTTATTGTGGTGTGGACCATGTTTTCACTAAAATTCTCCATGTGGCCTGGTTTTGACCACCACATTAGATAAGTGGCTAAGCGCAACTTGCGCGTCTCTCTCTCTC